TTATCTGACTATAAATATCGATTCACGCTTGATTGAGTTGGCTCACACGCCTCCACTGCGCGTCATTTCACTCCGCTTTGTCCTTCTGATTGTCTGTCTAGCTCAACGAGTGTACAAAATATACGTATTTAAAAATCCATTCACCAACGCGATTTAAGTCGATGATTTTATACGAGGATAGATGATATGTAAATTTCAATAATAATCAATCATATGACATTATTGGAGTCAGATATAGGGTCACAACAATCTACGAAATTTATCCCAGACTTATATTTCCTCATAAACTGTTATTTAATTATTTTTTTAAATTCTGTAATTAATTATGATAATCAACCGATTGACTCTTTATTTACTAGACCTGTTCCATAGTGATTAATTCACTGTTATTGACGCTTATATTCAAATGTAAAGCTATATAATTGAATGAAAATAAAGAGAATTCAGTGAAGGAAATTTTCTCTTTGAAGAAGACATTTACTGAAGCTATTCATTTGTATCTATAGTTATATGGGAAATATATGTGTTTATAGAAGGATAGAAAAGATTGCATCATAAATGGATTCGACACTTATTATTAGATGAGGTTACGTAATAATCAAGGGATAAGGAAGGAATATAAGGATGGAAATAATTTCCGGGTCAGACAATTGTCCAATTAACAGATATGAAGAATATGATCTCATTGGATATCACTTCTCTTTTTACAAATGTTCCTCGCACAGAAACTATGTTTTTTATGTGACTATATTGAAAACAATAACATTGATATTCGTATCCTAAAAGATTATCTAAAAGAGCTACTTCTACGATGTACTCTCAATGTTCAATTTAGATTTAATAATGATTTCTACAAACAAACAGATGGAGTTGCAACGGGTCTCTTCATTGGGTCCTCTCTTGGCTGATTGTTTCATGGCCAATCTGGAAAATAGGGTACTTGGACCAGTAATTGAGAGATTTCATCTATATAAGAGATGTGTGAATGATACTTTCATTATTTGTGAAGATGTAGAACTTTGGATAGTTCCAACATTTGTCACCCATGAATTCAATTTACTTTGGAAGCAGCGGTAAAAAATGAATTTCATTTTCTTGATACTCGATTGAAAAGAAGGTCGGATGGTTTTTTACAGTGATTTATTTATAGAAAACGGACTTGGAATAGTCAGTACAATAATTTCCATAGTTGAGTCCTACTGAGTAGAAAGAGAAGCTTAATTCACTCTTTATCCTCACGGATTAGGCGAATATGTTTTACTGACACAATAGATGAGGAACTACTTCAACTTCGACACACTTTCATTAAGAATGATTATTCACCTAGATTCGTCGATAGTAACTTAACATCTAGACATCATCCGGAAAAAAGCACAGACAGTACGAAAGAAAACTTTTTATGAATATGGAATTTATAGGAGATACGGCTGCTGAAAACTTAAATAAACGAATTTTAAAACCGTTGAATAAAACGTTCAACTCCACTAAGCTCTGAATTGTTTACAAAAGCCGGCCTACCATTCATAGATGTGTTAAGGATAAACTTCCGCTATCGGCCACATAAATGTGCATCTATAAATTTGCTCATATGGAGCGGTTACATTGGCGGCACAAAGCGATCACTTCTCAAACGCATCTCAGAATACTAACCGGCATGTATATTAAAAGGAGAATGTAAAACAATTACTAGTTCAATATAGGAACATTCAATCAACTATGAATACATCACTCTAAAGGAGTCTTCTACATAGTCAAATGAATTGGATGGAAGAGAAGTCGAATCAATATTTTATATACCGCTGAGGTATTGACAATCCACCAACTCAACCCCGAACTTTGAGTGCAAAACGATTCGTCCAAACTCTTATCCTTCCTTGGCCCTAATTTCCTTTTGTAGTATGTTTTGTTTGCATTCATCATCATTGATTTTTCTAAATTAGTGTTTTGTAATTTTAAACTCGAATCAGTTATTATTAACCCTAAAACAAGTTTTCATGATTATTATTCAGTTTTATTATTATAACATTCATGTTTATTGTTCTTTCTTCATATCAGTCAATTGGACAATTATCTGACCTGGAAATTATTTCCATCCTTAAATTTCTTCCTTATCCCTTGATTATTACGTAACCTCATCTAATAATAATAGTATCGAATCCATTTATGATGTAGTCTTTTCTATCCTTCTGTGGACACATATATTTCCCATATAGATATAAATGTAAAGCTTTAGTAAATGACTTCATCGAAAGGAAAATTCTCTTCATTGAATTCTCATTAGTTTTATTCAATGACACAATGGGAAAATTTTCTGTGTTTATTATGAGTTATATTGATTAATTTGATAAATCGAAAATGTTCGCAATTAAATATTCAAGTTCTAACAAACACAAGAGAGTAGCTATCATATTCTGTTAACGGGCATGCGTTTAACAACATACATACCAAATGTGAAGATATATTTAGAACAACTTCATGAAGGTAATGAGACTTTCATGTTGACTTAGTTAACGTTAGTATATCAAAGAAATTAGTAAAACCTATCCAGCAATTAATACGACCACAATACAAAATCAAACTCATAAGCAAATATAGCTTCGTGTACAAAGTTTTGAGTTTTGTTGATTACGTGACAATAGTCTGTGGTCAAAACAGTAACAGATAAAATGCAAACTGAGATATAAGCTTATAGACTGCCGATATGTAGTCCTACCAACCTCAGATGTAAGAATGAGTAATAACCATTCGACCTCAGAAAATCAAGTAAGTGATATATGATCAATTGGATGCTAGAAAAGGAAGGACAGAAATGACTGAGTCGTTTAGGACAACATCAGCGCACACTCCGATAAGTAGTGGTTTATTAAGATTTCTTCACAACTGTCTAGCAGATTATTCTCTTGACCCATAAAGCTTCGTGAATAATCTGTCCAACTCAGAAACAAAATACTTTCACCATGGTTCTGTTTTACGAGGACTCTGACTAAGCACAAAATGTTGCTTCATGACCGATCTGAGTCAACTGCTGACCTAACAATATATGACAAAGTAGTTTGGATTGTTCGATCACCTTACACCTCTCCGAAGTCTCGTCAGTGGTACCGACTGGTTTTCCACGAAATATCGACACCGATTCAAACAGCTCTCTTGGCATTTTCAAATTCGCTTCATAAATGGCGTGGGTGAGATAGATGTCCATTTACCAAACAAAGAACGATCTACTACACTGTTTTGGATGATACATGTGTGTTCGCCTTTTTTTCTTAGTATTTAAGTCCGGAAATCCCGTCATAGCAATTTTGGTGTCCTGTAGCGTGTCTCTTTGATTACTATTGATATTATCATCTTTTCTATTGCTGTGGGATTTATCTTCAAAGTTTTATCTCCTTGTGCTAATGTGGTATCGTGACTTAAACCGATGTTCCGGGTTCTACCGTGCATCAACTAACTGAATAATATTTGTAGTTGATCAATAATGCTATATTTATTTCTATCTTTTAAGCTAATAAAGTTTATAAAGCTTGATTGAAATACATGGTTGATGTTCGCAGACCTGTATTAAATGCGTGTATCGTATTACATGTGTATTTTTGCCATAGAATTCTGATTTCACTTTCTTGTCATTCTACTGTAATAAACTTGTGTTATGGGCGCATTAACATTTGACCTAAATATTTAATGTGTCTGGTGTTCGATTAAAACGTTTATAACTACTCTATATTTTACAGAGAAATTGAATGGAATTTCGTGAAATTTCTAGTTGACAGGAATGGTACTCCTGTATCTCGTTACAGTTCAATAACTCCACCTAACGTAAGTTTTATTGAAGTGGTTAGGACATATGTTACATATCCCAGAGCACTGACTACCTCAGTGAGTTATGTTTTCTGTTGTAGGAAGAGGTTAGACAGAATCCAGGAGCAGTCAAACCAAGACGTGGATTTAGTTTATGAAATTACTCATTGTCGGACTGTGCAGACTATCCGACTTTTTAAGAGACTGAGTGATTCGGCTTATAATTGTATGTGGTGATACTAATTTATCTGCTAGTTGGCTACGCTTCGATTCAAAATAATAAAAAATTGCCTCATACATGGCAATCCACAAACTCAGTCTTTCTTCAGTAGTTCTATTATCTATTTCTCTTCGTATTTATTATGGGTAGTGTTACTGTTTTGAACGAGAACTCAGGTGGGGATAACCAATTCATTGTTTCATACAAAACTACAGAATATCCTGGTAAAATATGAGAACCATTAACCGAATATCCACTTGCAAATTTTCATCACTTTTCTTCACATTTCTGTATGATTCTCCCAGTGTACAATTCCTTTCTATTATTCCTTCAATTCTCCTTAGCCTTCTTCTGCCAGTCTTTCCACTTCCGACTTATGTTTCATACTACTTACGTCTGTCGACATAATTAGCATATGCTACATTACTATTTCGAGATCTGTAAAATTAGTTTTACTAGGTTGACTTTGTTACATTGAAACGGTTTGGCAGCTTGAATGTACGATACCGTTTATGAATGAGTGATAAATCAAATTACAGTCTACAATATTTTATTTACTGTTGTTGATGATAATACGTGCAGATGAATGATGAAATAGGCTACTACTGGCAAAATTAAAGAAAAGATATAAACACAAGTACACAAAAATGAGTATAACATAAGAAAGTGTGCACACACATGAAACTTTTTTATCACACAAATATGTATCATACATACATAAACAGTGTGTATGTGTGTGAGTCAAGTGAAATTACCTTCAAAACATAAAATAGTGACATACCATATGAACACTGCTGACATAGACATTTAGATAGATAGACATACACAAATGAGAGGTATAAACAGTATAATATAATGAGAACAAACAGAACCGGTATCGCCATTCAGTGTGATTAAGGGTTAGGAAAAACAAAAAAAAACAAATGAAGTAATAACATAAAAAGACTAACAGAATAACAAAAAGTAAGAAAAATAACTATTCTGTTTAGAAAATCATTTCAATTGTATCCGAAAATCCAGTGTTAAATTTTAGTGGATTATAACCACCAAATACTAAATTATAACGTTGATCTGATGTTAATGTTGTACAACAGCTAGAACGAGCAAATATTAAATTTGGTCCTGAACGCCATTTCCAAGCAACTGAATCAAATATCCATGTAGTATCTAAGGTTTCATGACCATTATATCCACCAACTAATAGTAAATTATCTATAAGTTGTAAAATAAAAAACACCGAAAAGAAAATAATAATTGTATGATTTAAATTTTTGAAAGATCAATATAAATCTCTGCTTAACTTAGGTTTAAAACTAGTTAACATTTATTAACAAAGCCAATTTTGAGGGAACTGATAATTTCCTGAGGAATATGAACTCATGCCAATCGACTAAATAGAACTGCAAAAATAGACAGATGTAACATTAATCACTGCTTCACAACAAAGTAATACTTTAGAAAAAAATAAATCTGTGAATATGGAAAAAGCATGTTGAAATAAACATTACACACTTGTTAAACATAATATTGATTGCAAAACATATTAGTTGATATGATCATGAGTGGAAGTAACTATAATTTGAGATTCTAAGTGAAACTGTATCATGTATTCAGTCAACATTGTATAATTAAGCTTGGTTCCAAACAGAGTTATATCGATTATTGAAAATGTTATTTACTCCTAATTGTCCTTAAATCTACTGAATTGATTTCGCACAAAAATCATAAATGATGAGTATAATGGTGAAGGTGAAACGGTATCTGACTTGCCAACGGAATGTGATACCTTCTACAGTACAAAAGTAAACAAAACGTGTAGTTAAAAGACTTGGTTAAATTTAATTTAATTGTGTTGATATCATGAACCAATCTAAGTTAGACCCCCTAATGAAGACCTGAAAGCACTAAATATACGTTCAGTCCTAGTATGGAACTTTTCAGCAGTGTGCACCTACGAAGTAAAGACTAGTGTAGCTAAACTGTGTAGAATGTGAGGCGGTTACCTACCGAAGACGATGGAAGATGGTGAACTAATATCGCGGATTGATTAAAGTTGGACCTTAACACCGTTGTATCCTGACTCAGTGGTATAGAGTTTAAGCGTTCGCGCAAAAGCCTGAAGTTTCTGGGTTCGATTCCCTCATGCGAGAACATAGATGAACGTCGGCTGAGGAGTCTAGTATAGGCGTGAAAAGTTCACCCAGTTAATGATGTAAAATCTGTAAAAACTTTATAATATCTATAACCTCATACTCTTAATTTAATTTATGATATTAAATGATTTCAGCAAGTTAATAATAGAGCACTTTCAATTATTAATTGGTTTTTAGTATATTAAGCGAATATCACATTGAAATATATTGTTACCACTATTATTATTATTATTATTATTATTATTATTATTATTATTATTATTATTCGACTTATAATAATAATAATAATAATAATAATAATAATAATAAAAATAATAATTGTTGTTGTTGTTATGATTAATGATGTTGGCATGTGCCTCATGCATTAAAATAATCAAGTTTTTTTCTCATTATGAACAGTGAAGGAAAATGAAATTAACGTATATACTTTATGCAATCATTATATATTAGAGATTTAAATAAAGAATTGTTTTATTAGGTCATTCAATTCAATTTAATTTAGATAGCTATTATCTTATGAAATAAATGAGTGAATAAAGAAAGAATGAAAACATTTCAATTGTTTTACATAGATTTAGAATGATATATATATATATATATTACTCAAATGTAAGGAAAGCGTTTGGGTACATATATGTTCCGTTGACAGATTCTTCACGATAGTAATAGAAATATTAGTAATAGTAACAGTTGGAAGAATACTATTAACATTAGAAAAAATAAAACTTATCAATTTCACAATACAATCTACAAATTTGACAAAAGTAGAATCCAGTTGAAAGAACTTAAACCAATGCTTATGTGCACATCCACGACCCCGCCCCCTTCGGGATTCGAACCCAGGACCCACTAGTTTCGCGCGCGAGCACTTAACCACTAGACCACTGAGCCAGAACCCAACGGTGTTAATGTCTAACTTCAACTAATCCTCGCAGAGGGCGAGGTCATGGATGCGCACTGCTGTGGAGTCCCACAATAGGACGAAACGGTCGTACAGTGCTTCCAGGTTTTCCATGATCTTAACCATTGAAATTACTATAATATCCACAAAACCCATCTGATATTAATGCTAATGTGAAAAAATCAATTATGATGTTGTTAAATCATCACAATCTTAGGTTACAGTTGTTTAGTTGAAACATAAGAGATCATTATTTTTTCTCAAAACACAGGACGGAAAATATTAATAAATGCCTATACTGTGGTCACAGGAGGCAGACAAGGTTGCTTACTCTCTCCCCCTCTCTTTCTTCTGGTGGTTGATGAATTGATGAAGACCTCGATATCGGAAGGCAGGTATGAAATACAATGTACAGCTCGAAATCAACTAGACGATTTAGACTTTGCAGATGTATTAGCTTTTTTATCCTGTAGACACCAGCAAATGCAGGTCAGGTCAAGATAAACAGTGTAGCAGTAGTAGGCCTCCACGTACACAAGGGAAAAAGCAAGATCCTCAAATACAACACGGAGAACAATAACTCGATCTCTCTTGATGAAGAAGCTCTGGAAGATGTTGAATCTTTCACGTACCTGGGAAGCATTATCGATGAACAAGGAGGATCTAGTGCAGACGTAAAGTTGAGGGCTATCAAAGAAAGGAAAGCATTCCTACAGTTGAATAACATATGGAAATCAAAACAACTGTTAGCCAATATCAAAGTTACAACCTTCAGTACGAATGTCAAGATAGTCCTGCTGTACGGAGCTGAAACTTAGAGAACTACTACAATCATCATCAAGAAGGTACAAGTATTTATAAATAGCTGTCTACGCAAGATACTCAATATCCATTGGCCGGATACCATCAGCGACAGCCTACTGTGGGAGAGAACGAACCAGCTTTCAGCTGAAGAGCAAATTAGAAAAATACGTTGGAGGTGGACAGGAAATACATTACGGAAATCACCAAACTGCATCATGAGTCAAGCCCTAAATTGGAATGGTGAAGGGAAGCGGAAAAGAGGAAGGCCAACGAACAGATTGTATCGAGAAATAGAATAGCAACTGGAAAGGATTGTTCAGGATAGAGTTGGACAGTGTCAGTGTTTTATCGAGTAATTTAAAATCAAACAAAATGATGAGAAAAAAGGCGAAAATGAATGATTATTAAATTGTATACTTTGTGTAATTACAATTTATACAGCATGATTGATTTAAACAAATTATTTTGTAAAAGCTGATAAACACTACTTATTATATATGAATATATGATCGACTTAATTGATCACTGGTGAACTGGAATGAACAAAATTCTTCTTCAGAGAGAAATAAACAAAATGATGAATGTTTCACTGTCAGTCAGTAACAACGTAGAACTTCGTACGTACGTACATCAGTTCGAGTTGCCACACCACATTAGCACAGAGATGCAATTGTCGATTCAAATCCCGTAGTGGTAGAGGTAATAAAAGTATAAGCAATTATCGGAAAGATTAGGGTTTGAAGATGTTATTCAAGGAGTATGATCCAGTGAAATATATTTGGAAAGAGAAAAAGGAAAAAGACATGAATAATTCAGAAGAACACAAAAACTGGATGCACCTGCGCCATGTCATCCAAGGTCTCTAACCATCGGTTACTATCATCTCGCGGATCCCAACCAGGCAGTCTACACCTATCAACATGGCTCAGTTCACTTGTCAGTGACTTCATGGACTTGTGTCATGTTTTGGTCTGGTCGTGCCTACCTTTCTTTCAACCTACTCCTACACCATAAAACATCGCACGTCGGGGCAGTCGGTGGTTTGGAATAAGTAACACGTGTCTCAGCCATCTCAACTGATGAAGTTTCACTACTTCATCAATCGATTTGCCATCCTTACCTAGTATCCGTAAGGATGTTTCAATGTAAGATTTACAAAAAGATGAATAAATTTCGTTAAATGTAAAATAATAATAAAGTACCTAAAATTTATAAAATAGCTAAAAGGTAACAAACTAATGGTATAGTATATAATAGGATATAATAGTAAACTGACTATTTAAATAGATAAGTTAGTGAAGAAACAAATCTGAAGTTAAAGGGGATAAAAAGTAGGCGCTAACGATGTTTTTGTTAGGAAAGATAATGAAAAATCTATCATTTAACCATGTACCTTAGAAGATAATAACACTATCAAATACATAAGTTAAATTGAATTTATTCATTCAATACAAATTTATGTATTTGAAGCTTTTAGTTATGTAACAGTTAGTACTATTATCTGCCAATTACACAACAGTAAAATAGGTCGAGAGAGAACAATGAATGTATAACAACTTTCTAATAATTAGATAGACAAGTTTAGGATTGTAACCAGGACCAAAAGAAAAAAAATCATTCTACTCTTCAAACAAAAAAGAAAAGAATAATCAGTAAGAAAGCAATGAAACCGATTCCAAATATTCTATTATTAAGTTTTATTTAAAACTTTAAAGAATTTCTAATTGAAGTTAATTCATTACATAAGTATGTTTTAATTAAGTAATTTTGTGGAAATAAAAAAATTCTTTGTTAAGAAAAATAACTGATTTTGTATACTAATAAATTAGTTTGTTCTTTGTTAAATCATAATAATTCACTATTTAAACATTGAAATGTTTCTATTTGTATTGGAATAAATATGAACTATTTATTTATTTAAATTTGTCTAGATTTAAAATCCCCTCTGGTATGGCCGAGGGTGGAGAGAGTCAGCTCACCGTCTCGAAATGCTCTCACATGGCCACGTGCATACAAAAACTGACATGGAAGTCCTACTCACTACCTTCGCGTGGCGGGGGTGTTGTTTACGAAATTGAAAAAAAGCGAAACTCCGGGGCTTTAACCGGGTTGGTGGATACGGAGGGTTCATCTAAGAGAGTTAGGAAACCCTGATTCCAAACCAATGGTGCACATAAGCTCCAGTATCCTGAGGGAATAAATGGCGTATGAACCAACCGTTGGTCACCGGCTACCATGGGACTGCATCTCCTTACAACGCTCCACTACCTTTTGGATCAGATCTTTAGGTCGAAGACTCTTAAAAAACAACCTGCTTCGGTCTGGACACCCGGGCAGTATCACAGCCCTCATACAAATTTGATGAGATGACAATTATTTCACAAAATATTATGCTCGCTCCGATCAGAATTCAGACATTTCACGTTCGCTTGGTAACATTCCTCTTTTATATTATTACTATTTTTTTATATACTACATCACTTACCTACCTCACTGTACCGTATATGTATATGTTAAAATATATAATAAATAAATAAATATTCAAAATAGAATATACTGACCTTTAGAATTTGGACAATATGTTAAACTGGCACCACGAAGTTGTCCAAATGAATTGCCTAATGTATTAGGAATATAAAACCAAGTATCACAACGAGGATCTAATGCTTCAACAGTTACATTTTGACTGGTATTATATGTAGTGTTTGTATTAACAACTCCACCGATAACAACAATTAGATTTCGTGATGTCAATACATTAGCACATGCTTCACAACGACCTATTTTAATTATATGGAAAAAAACAAACAAATTATCAATAATTCAATTATAATGTAACTATGTACATTTTATGGGAAAATGATTTTTTTTAAAAATGGATGTTTATTAGCTACAATAATATTTATTCAATGAATGTAAGAAAGTAATTCCTAGTTGGACAAAGTTATATTGAGAGATAATAAATTTTTGTTCTTATAAACAAACTTATTTGAGGTCAAATTACATCATAATATATAGAAGGAGAAGATTTTGTTTTCTCAATGACGATAAACTTGAAAGTTTCTTTTTTGTTTCATTGCATCAATGGAATTTCTATTTCAAATCTACAGTTTAGTCACAGAAAGAAATATGCACCGTTCGATTAGACTTCTTTTATGGGATAAGTTAATTACAGTTGGTGAAAGAATTCGACACATAACAACAGTCGGTTTTTATTGGTTTAATTATATAAACACTAATTTCATACTGATTATAACAGTCCTCTATGGTATGATCACAATTAATTCATTTATCAATAATGGAAATATGTTAAATGTTTTTGACAGTCCTCTGATGCGAAATGTTTTTTTTAAGGGACTACTTGAACACAAGTGAAAAAAAAGCTTAAGTTCAAAGTTAAGGAATTTATGGAAAGTCGTACGTCTTAATACTATTTTATGTAATCTTGGTCGTCTAGAAAGTTCTAAATCATGCTACATATAGCATCAAGAAAGTTCCTATCCGACCAAAAACCTGACACGTGATCTGTCATCCTTCTAGGTGTTTCGAAGACACTTCTATTCAATCATGGTTGAACAAAATGTTTCCAAGAGTCTTCTGAGCCCTTATTGTTTTGTACAAGTCTTTTGGAATTTCCCCAACAGTTAGAGCTATTGAAAACTATCACATAAAAATAAAATAAATATGATGAAATCAGCGCATACAAAGTAACACTTATATTTCACAATGACTGTAATATTTCTGCAATGGAAATCTAATAATACTTGCTAAGGTATTATCGTACCTTGTAACATGGATGGCATATAAATCCATTCATCTCTATCTGGAATGTAGGCTTCAACAGAAGATAGAAACTGTGCATCTGATACTCCGCCAGCAACAAGGACTGATCCCTTTGTATTTGTGATAAGCGGTCCTTGTTGAATTCCACTAAGATCTACACCAACTGGATTGGTCCGAGCCTCATGTAAACTCTTTATCGTCTGCCAAAATGTAACACTTGATACACCACATCCATTTGAAGACGCATGACTATGTGCTATTGAATCTGTTCGTGTACGGAAATCAGAACTTTTCCGAGAGCCATTTGTATACACGTGATCGTCAAGGTTATCATGATTGCTTTTGGTTACCACTTCATGATTGATAAGCCAAGATCCCAGTGTCTCACATGTCAGTCTACAAAGGTATATACAAACGGTACGAATCAAAGAAAGGATAAGCTATATGACTTAAACAATACGACATGATGAACGTAGAGCATAAAGACAAATTGCTGAATAAATCACTTCGAGATTAAAGTTCATATGAATTTCACAAAGAAAACATGGATATGTGAAAATTAACCAATAAATTGTAGTAAAAAAACCAAGGCACGAAGTCCCAAAGTGACTGAGGTTAGACAATGTTAACCAGTGGATGCCGACTAAGTGGTCTAAAAGTTAGACGACCATCAAGAGACCTGAAGGTTCTGGGTTCGATCCACGGTAAGTTCAGTCAGTCATACGAAACTCAGAATATGGTATATATGTACATTGGATCAAGTTGCCACAACCCATTAGCACAGGGAGATGTCAGAATAGTACAAGTAGTAACATTATTAGTGGTAGTAGAAAAAAATCAGATTTCGAAAATACGATTCGAGAAGAAAGTACGGATTCATGATATAAAAAAATTTAAAATAATTAAGAAACCAAGGGTCCGTTACGATCACGTGACTTATCCACCAATCAGAATCCGACTTATACAAATCTTCGCACTATGACAAAACCAATGAAGTTCAACCGGTATGAGCAGTCTAGAGTCCTTATTTGCTCCTATGTCCTTCTAGCCCGTCCACTTGAGTCCAGAACACAATACCAGCTTCTGTAATATCAATCGAATCGGATCGAACCATTTATTTCAGACATACTGGGTTTATATATCAACCAAACAGACAGCAACGTACCATAAAATAGAAAATAACATGTGTACACAAATAAGCCGGAAAGTGATTGTGAACGTGGGAGGTAGTAGTTAATAAACTGAGCATAATTTAGGGACGCTAAATCGTACAATAATCAATTAGTCAAAATGAAGCTTATAATAAGAGGAATATAAATATACATAATCTAATTATTATACCATAATATATAGATAATATTAGTCAATTAATGTCTCAGAAGTTACTCGTAATTTAATCTTCACTAGGATATAACAGGATCTATGAAAAGGTATTGAGTGAGTGGACCTGTGCAATTGAGAATGATGCTGAGCTTTGCGAACTAACGTCTACAGCTATTTGTGACCATTATCGTGCGAAACACAACAACACAGTCTGAACACCCAGTTACACAGCTTATCACCTTGGGATAAATTAGTTGTTCAGCAGACTGGTTTTCCAGCTAAGGCCAGTTATTGCTTTTAGCCATGAAACTGAACAATCTTCAAAGCCCCTTTACACTAATAAAATCTATTTCTGTTACCTTAAATGGAAATTCAATATGTCAAGCCTCTTTTGTTAGATTAGAAAAGAAAACAAAATAATTTACTATCTCCACTGGTTGAAATCACGAGCCAATTGAAGCTAGACCACCATGGAAAACCTGGAAGCACTGGACGACTGTTTCGTCCTAGTATGGGACTCCTCAGCAGTGCGCATCCAAGACCCTGCCCCCCCGCGGGATTCAAACCCAGGATCTATCAGTCTCGCGCCAGGCATTTGACCAACCAGACCACTGAATACAACAATTTCTTACAGAGGCGTTTGGCGCCTCAATTAGAACCTATATAATAGGAGTAACAGTTTTAGCACATAAACGGCAGTTTATTTCATATAGTCTATAGAAAAATCCTGTTAGGTGAACTATTTAGGAAAGTGATTTCATTTACCCGTGAAAATATAATTTAAAAAAAAGAGACAAATTGAATTGATAAAATCGTGTAAACTTGTAAAACCACAGAAAAACTATATCACAATTATAAATTAGATAGTTATTTACTAATCTGCGTTGATATGTGTTGTTTTATTGAAAACAAACTATGCAGATTTGTTTTTAAAGGTCAAATTGCTTTGAATTTAGGCCATTTTATTAAGGAAAGGAATGTTTGAGTTAAAAAAGAGAAAACAAAACAAGAACAAATGAATAGTTTGATTCACTAAATAATGAGTAAACTTTTAGAGAATATCTCATTGATGTTACTTTCAAACAAACAAACAAACAAGACAAGACAATTACTAATTCAAAGATAAATGTCACTAAGAAGAAAAGAACAGAAGAATATATATCTGAACAAATTGAAATACTTGATGACTTGTTTATCTGTAAAAATTGAGATTATGTTTAAATAACCCAGTATTAGACAGTCTACCATTAAATATAAACAATAGGATTATGATTGAGTAGGATTAAAATAATTAAATATAATCCTATTATTACGAGAGAAAAAGAAAAGAATAATCATAGCATTACAACAGGTTAAGGTTCTATTTAACAAATCACAAGTTGAATTTAAAAAATATTCAGTAGTTAAAACAATTGTTTAGCTTGATCTTAAATTTCTATATCTTCCCTGATAGTTTATTAAGCATAATTTCATAGATGTGATCGAATACTAACAACTGAATAGTGTGTTCTCCTCTCTCATAGGGCAAGTTAAACTGCTGGAGAAAATTAGAAAATGAAGTGTTTGACAGTATATCGACTATATGATATCCAAACATTAAAAGTTTTACAATTCGACAATAAATAAGTGTTTTTTTTATTGTGAAGATTTCATAGTCTAATATCTACCAAAAGAGATAAAGACCGTTTCGAAACATAATTTATAGATTTTAAGAGAAATGAATCTCATAATTTGTGCAGTGTTCCTGATATTTGTGGCAAAAGTGTAGTATATTGACGCCCTTGAGAAACTAATTTAAAGCCAACGAGAAAATAGTTGATACATCTGAATAAATCAATGTGGAGTTATCAAAGAGTTTAGAATGTATACATGGTTTTCACATGTTGGGTGAAATTAGTTAGATTCTCTGGATTCTCAAGACTAGTCATAATATGTTCGGTATATTTATACATATATTGCTCTATATCAATTGACCTGTAGATCCATTATAAAGTTGAAGAAAGTTTTCCACTTGTTTCCACAGAGCTTCTACGTTGTTAGTGTGGACACTAACTGTTGGGTCTACAAAATTATGCTTGTATACCACCACGTGATGAATATACCTGTATCTGGGAAGACACTGAAATGTTCTCCAATCATTTGTGTAGATTGTTGTTCCTGGTTTTATATACTGCTTAGTGACTGACATGAGACTTCAGGCCTTTCTGTTTCAAACGTTAGGTGTCCTTTTGTGTAGTTCCTATCTCGAATTCCGAAAACCTACTACTAAGATTAAGAAAGCCGTAACTTACCCAATTCGCTTGTACACTTCTGATCCTGTTATACGTCCTCCTCCGAACAACAAATTTGTCGATTGCCAACACCTCCAAAAGACAGGTTTAGATTCGTTAGCATTACAGAATGAATATCTCGACAATACTGATACTATTGTATTGCTGTGACTTTTGTTATATCACTTAGGGCAGCTGCTTGAGTCGCTGTTCCTTCCAAAAGCTACTGGATAACAATTAGAGTGATTTATCTCGATGCATTTTAGAATATTTTAAAAATGAACCTCTTCTTATCGATTTTTTCATCCAACAATTTCGCGGTACGATAGCGCGTTGGCGGAATCTTGGCAATTGACAAAACTTCTATTCGGAGGAAGTATAACAACATCAGAAGTGTACAAGCGAATTGGGTAAGTTATGGTTTTCGCAATCTTAGTAGTAGGTTTTCGGAATTTGAGATAGGAACTACACAAAAGGATATTTTCTTAACGTTCGAAACAGAAAGGCCTCAAGTCTCTTGTCAATCATTGTAACCCTATAATTCAAACCGAAAAATATCTGCTGAAAACACGTATACACCAAAATGTTGTACGTAGATTTATAAAGTGATGCTTAACAAGCTAAGCACGTAAAAAATGAGCGTCAATCAACGTTTATTGCTAATATAAATCCTTCCATCTATTATGATTTCCATTTGGAGCATAACATTTTCAAAGAATGAATATATTCAACATAGAATAACCAACTCACTTATCTACAGATGCTAAATCCTTGGAGCCTGTCGAACCACCACAAGCATAAATTATATCAGGAAAATCAGATGATTGTATGTAACTGGATACTACAGCTAACCGACCTCTTTGTTTTGTCAGTCGTGGACCAATAATAGGAGCGGATACAGGTGAATCTTCATCGCTACATGATTCATACTGTTGATTGCTACCGTTTTCAACAAATAATTCCATACTATCTAAACAACCTTTACGATTATAACCGCCAATAATTGCAATGTAATGTTTTGAATTACAACTCAGTTGTCCGATGCCAAAACTTGACCGAGCTTCTAACATATGCAATGGCAAATCTTGGCCTGTACCATCATTATGACTAATGCAAAGAATTACACTTTGATAGACTTGATCAGTGAATGATTGACGAAGTAAAGACGATCCAACAATAGCTCTCGCTAAATTTGAAGCAGAACTGCTGGTTACTGTACGGGTTACTTCATCTAATATTTTGATGGAAAAACATATGAAACAATAGAATACAAATCCCAACGAAGAAAGATACGAATATATCAATACACGTATATACATATATAAATAACTGATAAAATGTCGAAGATTAAAGATTATATTTTTTGTCCGTAAAAATACAAAATTCTATTATCTCGGGTTGTCGAAAAAAGAAATCAAATTACTTAACAAAATTTAAACGGACTTCATAACCCTAACAAGACTACTATGAACAATGCTTTCCCTTTGACAGTGGCGAATGACTGGTTAAGCATGTTATGCAAAAATCTTCTAAACATATAAGATTATAAGTGTATAATAATAAATTCATTGAATAAAGAAATTATACTCACAATACTTAAAACCATGAGGTGCTCTATTAGAGGTGTTCAGGTGTTTGGAAATTCTCAGTAGTTTTCACTGCACAAGGCAATTTCTTCTTAAGGGAGCTAATTAAGAGGGTGGGTCAGGAGTGACAGCTTTGCCGATCAGAGTGTGACTACAGAGGCCAAACACTTGAAGTTGACGGCGAACGACCATTTTACTTCGGAGCCAAGAATCCAAAGAACAAGAAGGGATATTGATTTTTTAAGGCCGATATTTTTTGATAACTCGTATTATCTGATGGAAGGTGGATGCTTCCTGTTAGCCGTTGGAAACTCCTTACTGATACCAGATATCAGTAAAGTCGATAGAATAAATCATGTTATGTGTTTAAGTTGTTTTTGAAATAAACTGAGGTATAACAGTTAAAACATAAGTTTATTACCTTCAGAAACCTGGATGATTACCAATTATGGCTAAGTGTACTGATAATAAATCACGATGTGGACAAATAATGAACTTACCAGGCATATGGTCACCAGTTTAAACCATATCCTTATAACTACTTCTGGTAGGACAGCTGCGTACTACTTCACATGGCTCATTATTTACATCCGATTTCAGATGTTCGCAAAGTGATGTTTCTTCGCTGAAAGTTATTTATATCCCAGACTTGCACTTTCTCTTCACACAGTGAAATCAGCAAACCGCACCTAGAAACAATTCAGAACTCTTACTATATGTTATGACTCAGCAACGACTTTTCAAAATAAGCGTTAACTATCTACAAACTTCAGCGTAAGCATCCCAACATATTGGGATATGCATACCTGAAAATATTAGCAATGGGATAAAATATATGTATTAGATCTAGTATAATGAGTTCTGCACACAATAAAGTGGGAACTTGCTTTTTTAGAATCAATGACAAGCTAGATATATAAATGAACTTGTGACTAGTCAAATTTACTGAAAGGAATGAATTTCAGAACTACTACAAATTAGTTCTTATAAAGTAATATAAGGTGTTTGAAAAATAAACTGGTATATATAGAGAAAAAAAAAGGGTTTCATCTAATCTTCACCTACCATCATTATCCGATTTCAGCACAGCGGTACTCGTACACTCAGACAATTCGGGACAGACACTTTCAGCAGAACACTTGGTGGCGTTAAATTCATTTTCAATTAGACTATTTAAATCATTTGGTATACTGGAAGTATTCGAAATAGATGAACCACGACTTTGATGACGACTTCGTGACTGATTGACTTCATTCATTAATTCTTCATCCAACTGTTGGATAGATCGATGTGTCGGGGGACAACGTTTTATCGATAGGCTAACCAAATAACCTGCTAATTTGCCTAACCAAATTGATGTCGATCGAACTATAAATAGAAGGAGATCGAAAATAGAGTTATTGCAACAATATAACTAGGAGCTAGGTTTTTGTACGTAACCAATACAATGATTAATCTATTCATACAATTGACTTAAATATCGTCATAAGAAGCCGTAGCGTTAACACATGATAAATTAAATGAATTGAGAAACTTCGACCAAAAAATACTATATCTTAATAAAAAAAATACACCAATTACCATATTACTTTACACACTCGATAGTAAATTTTACAAAGGACTAGAAAGTAATGCAGTATCATTTTACACATTATGCTGTAAATGAACTGGACTTCTTAATGGTTACCGTTAAAGGCTTATTGATTAATTTGATTTATATTGCAACCCTAACACTAAATACTGAAATTGCGGGATTCAAACAGTAAAATGATCACTTTTGACCTTGTTTACTACAGAAAATACTGAAGTCAGAAAATACAAATTGAAGTTTGGTTTTTTATAGTTAATCACATTAATATTAAAGTAATTTTATCAAACACTTACATGTTAAATAGACAAAACTTTTTTTTTAAATGGGGTAATAAAGGTAAAAAGAAATGCTATTCAAATTTTTCTTATTCATCACTATATATGTTCTAACATCCTCAGAATTTCGTTATAGACAACAAATTGATTTGTCAATATGGGAAGTGTGGAAATTGTTGAATTTCATTGAATTGATAGATTGATTAAAGTCAGACTTGTATACCGTTGGATGCCAGCTCAGTGTTATAAAGATAAAACACCCCCACATACTACTGAGGATTCCCGTAATGGACCAAAACAGTTTTCGAGTGCTCCCTGATTTATAATCATGGTCTACCTAAGATCAGCTCGTGATTTGACCACCAAACATTTTACAAGCTTCACAAACCCAAATATACTAATAATAATCATATGTTTACTATCGACTAGCTTTAAGGTGCAATTCAAGATGAGGTGACCAGGAAAGTTCAATCCGTATCGGGTGTGAAAGGTATTCACCACATTCAACAGAATATAGCCCAGTAATATCGTGGATTGATGGAAATCAGACATGCAAACTACTGCATACTAGTTCAGTAGCGTCTAAAGGTCCTGGATCCGATCACCAATGACAGGGTTGTGGATGTGCACTAAAGAGATCCCACACTAAGAAAAAGCAACTATACGGTGCTTCTAGATTCTCAATAGTCAGATCGGTTAGTGATCTCCATAAAATTGAATTTGAACATGTTAACAAATGAATGTCTAAAAAGCATTATGTAGTGATAACTTTTTTTTAAAATGCACTTGAAAAAAAGGACTATGAAGTTATGGATATCCTAATGAAAATAAAAGAATGTTACCATCAATAGAAATGAATGGGCTGGATGAAATATAAAACTTAAGAACGTAACTAATGAATATTCAATGATCTGGAGAGCCTGATGTAACACACTAATAAAACAATGATTTATAATCAGGGATCCGTGAGATACATTTTTTATACGAGATAGTAATTCTACTGGTTAACTTTCAGAGCAAAACAAATGCAACAGGGTACAAATCTGTAGTTATGAGGTTTAAAGGATCTAGTACTTAAAACACTACGAAACTGTTCAACTCAATAGATTAAAAGATTATTAAGAATTCAATTGACTATTCCTTTTTTTAAATATTTTGTTCTTTGTTACGAAATAAAGAGTGAATTCATCTGTTGAAAAATATAGGAATAACAATATTTACACAAATAATCGTAATTCATACTGTTACATTCATGAGTCGATCTAAGCTAGAAGAAAATTGGAAAACCTGACACGGGCAGTATTCCATTCCTTACACAATCTGAATGACCAAGTGTGACGAATATACGTTGTGGCCTTTTTGTACCAATGTCTGTGTTTAAAAAATGTATGGAAGAACTGAACAGCCGTTTCTCCTCAGTATGGGACTCCTCAGCAGTGCACATTCACGATCCCTCACTCGGGACTCGAACTCAGGGCCTTCAGTCACGCACTTCAACGCTTAACCTCTAAACCACTGGACCGGCATTCAGCGGTGTTAATGTCTAACTTCAATCAACCCAAGACATTTTGTGGCAATTTTGTCGGATATTATATTCAGCAGGAAACCCTTCTTGATTTAGGTATAAAGCTAGTTGACACTTATCAGCAAGGTGTACTCACAGTTATAAAGGAACTTGGTGATACCTATAGAATTCGAACCTACGTCACCCAGCTTCACAACCAGAGACAATAGCATTCTATTCACTATTGAACTCTCTAGAACTGAAATATTTCGTGTATTAGAATATCTTTATAAAAATATCAACCAATCACTGATCAATTATTAATCGGCAGACTTCAGTTGATGACTATGATGCGTTTAAATATATGATTATAATCCACATTTGAAAGATCAGGTTTTATTGCGTCAAAGGTATTTATTGGTGTCACTTATCCATTTTTTCACTAATCACATCTGATGAATTATACTATTGTTTCACATTGAGTATCACAGTCAGAAAAATTGTCAACTGATCGAAACAGAATTTGGTACTTTAGACCCCACGATAATTGGGTTCTTTAATGTGGTTCTTCGTACCACACATATTCAACCATACATATGATCCTCCATTCCCGTTCATAAACCAGTTTTAAAGTAATTTTACTGACTTGTTTTCTCCTCTAATATTTGAGAGTGGCAGTATCGAGAGTTCAAATATATTGACCAGAAAATCAGTATTATTACCATTGTCTGTCCTTAGGCATAACTAACTAAATAATTAGTTATGAATAGAATCCACGTATCTGTCCACCATTGTAATTAATATGTTAACTAAAGTAGTTTTCTTGTAATCGTTTTTTATTATTTCCTTATCAAATTGTATCATTGTCACGACACAGAATGAAATGGTATACTAATATCATCAAGTGAACCTGATCACTTGTCTAGAAACTTGAATGATTATTATAAATGTATGTTCATACCGCTTTGTTGTTGTTAGGCTGTGTACTTTATCCGCTGACCTTGAACTCTACATAATTATTATTTAGTTCAGAAGCTGATTGTTATAAAGCGAGCAAATAATATCCTATCAAATAAAAGTATAAAGCGTTTCATTTGGTAAATTATAAAATTTCATTTCACTTAGGAGCTGTTTCTGTTGTTATTTTCGTTTAATAACTTCCGTACAGCTATTATTTTCTGATTAATATAGTTATTTCAAGAGATGTTGATGTTGATTTTACGATTGAAGATATTGGTTGGATAGAAATTTGCATAGTTCCAGCGTATATGATACGAAAACACGTTATCACTTTTACTACTGCCTATGATTTTCGGTACTGTTATCTGCGAATATATGAAGTATATTGAACTGAAATGCTTTATTCCTTCGGGACACTTAATATATATATATATATATATATATATATATATATATATATATATATACCCACGATCCCGCACGTGGGACTCGAACTGAACAGTAACTAATACACGAAATATTTCAGTTCTAGAGAGTTCAATAGTGAATAGAATGCTATTGTCTCTGGTTGTGAAGCTGGGTGACGTAGGTTCGAATTCTATAGGTATCACCAAGTTCCTTTATAACTGTGAGTACACCTTGCTGATAAGTGTCAACTAGCTTTATACCTAAATCAAGAAGGGTTTCCTGCTGAATATAATATCCGACAAAATTGCCACAAAATGTCTTGGGTTGATTGAAGTTAGACATTAACACCGCTGAATGCCGGTCCAGTGGTTTAGAGGTTAAGCGTTGAAGTGCGTGACTGAAGGTCCTGAGTTCGAGTCCCGAGTGAGGGATCGTGAATGTGCACTGCTGAGGAGTCCCATACTGAGGAGAAACGGCTTTCCAATACTTCCAGGCTTACAGTGATGGTCTATCTTAGATGAACTCGTGAATTAGACTGTTAGAAATAAGAATTTATTGCAGCACCACAAGATAAGTATGATGTTTAGTATGTTAATTATTTTAATTAAGATGGTGCATTCAGTGTGAAACAAAACCGTTTGAACCATGAATATCAACGACAGGTTTAGTAAAACTTTTATTAGTCCGCGGTCAAAACATTACAAGTATTACATACGTTAGTGGATAACTGGCCTTAGTACCTTCAAAGTTTATCACAATCAATCTATCCTATAAAATATTTTTCGAGAGATTGAAAAATTAGCCACGGATACTAGTATTACACAGGCGTATAATCATTAACGTAGTCTAAGTATAATGAGCTTAAGCAGAAGTGTATGACAGCTTGTGATGATAATCTGTTGAAAGAAAAAAAACTTTAAACATGTCACTCACTTAGTTTAATGCTTTAACTACCAAATAACACTACTTAAACATTTATTTCGCTAGCAGATTAAAAAAATTGCATCATATGAATAATCATTATTGAAACACGATGTTTTGACATGGTGTAATCCATTCAGTGACAAACATAGAGAGAACTTCAAAGTTTAAAAATAAGGCGTTAGTTATACACCAAACGGTGTGAAAAATTACTAAACTACATGACAGAATAATAATACTTTTTGATCTGTGAATGGACTAAATAATTTTAGTTCGTTTTTCAAATCAGATCATGGTAGTTGAACTAATAACACCTTAACTGTGGAACGTAAACAATATAGGTAAGAACGATCGGGAGCTGAGGTTAAATTCTAAAAAAAACGAAACATATCTACCAAGTACAAGAACTCAAACTTTCTTATATCTGACAAATAAAATTAGGCGATTCTGAGTAAGAAGACGAAAACAAAATGAATATTTAATAAGTGTATTGCATCGTTATTATAGTGTTACAGATAATTGACGATTCCCTGATTAAATGACAATCAAAATACAGTGATCAAGTATGATTACACAGTAACGACTGTAAATCTCTTCTTTAATAATAAAATGAATCCCTAGATAGATTCTAGATAACTTCTGAAAAATTATGGCGATTCTCAAGACTTGTGTAATTACATAGACTATGGTATTATTTTGTTGAGCATAAACTTTTTGTCATCTGTTAAATTATTAGTTGCAGTGGATAAATATACAATTTGGTTTATACTGTGACCACGTGGCCACGGATATACAGCCACTGTCAAGGAAATCCTACTCACTGCCTTCCGGCGGCGGGGGTGTTGTTTACGAAATTGAGAGGTCGAAAAGCGAATTCTCAGCGATATAACCGGAAAATGTGACTGATTACAGTGATAGGCTGAGAAAATAAACTTAAACTTTACTTTGACCATAATGGTTGCAATTAAAACTAACAATTAACAATATATTAAATATGAAAATGCTGACAAATAAAAATAAACATAGTCATATTATATAATCAAAGTCATTTCATATTTTTACTTACCTCCAAGAGATGTTGGTGCCAATAAACAAGTCTCTGATTCTTGATTACCAGTTGATAAACAAACAGTTAATAAACTATGCCCATTCTATAAAGAAAAATTTCAATTTAAGTTATGAGTAATAAAACAATATCAAGTTTTAAATAAAACAAAAACTTATGCAGTAAATCAGCTATAACATACGACCAGGGACATATATGCATCAGTCCAAGTTGCCACACCTCATTAGCACAACAAGATGAGCACCGGATTCATAGAAGTAGTTAATTCAGTAGTGGTAATATATAACAGAAAGATTGCACATAAGGATATAGTACAGGAAGAAAGAATTAGTTCACAGAAAGGCATAAAGTAATTTTAATCTCATGGTTTACGAGAAGACAAAGAGTGTATACACCGACACCATTGTGATCGATTCTGGGCCATGTCACACAGAATCTCCAACCATTGATTACGGTAGTCACGCGAACCCCAACCAAGTAGTCCACATCTACCAACAAGGCTCAGACCAGAAGTTAGTTACTTCAAAGACTGATGCCACGTTTTAGTTTGGCCGCCCCTAACTTTCCCCCAACCGTCTCCAACACTAGTCAGCGTTGTGCGCGAATTTATGCATAAAGCAAATAAAAATTATTGGTAATCATAAGTGTGATTTCGTTTATTTTATTTTTATTACATACAGATTCTTGTCGAAATCGAAAAGAAAGAACGACTGTAAATTATTGAATATTTCACCTTCGAATGAACAGATGTAAAAGCAATTATTATTTATGTAACGAACCAAGTAACCACATTACAAATTATTATTGTGAGTAGAAGTGAACAAGATCAGGAACCATAAGATAATAGGTAAAATTTACAGGATAATAAGTTATTCAAGAGTTGGGCAAAGATGAATGCATTTGCACAATGGAGATCAATCGATCTACAGGTACCACTTAAAATCTCTTTCACTACTTAACCATAACTTGTGGAATGCATTTAGAGGGAATATACATATATTCTTGTAAAATATAAAGTACCAAGTAATGATCAAATGAATTAGTGATGTGTTTTGATCTGGCTATCTCGTCTCTTCTATAAATCTGATTTAGTAATCATTCAGTCAGCGTTCACAACTTCATCAACAAACCTAGATCGTTTGCTAAATAATATATTCATTGGTAGGTGAATCGCTAACGACAGAAAAAACATTAATAAACAAACGGAACGAGTTTTGGAAAAGCCATAACTTCCGAAAATACTTTTTGAATATTATTTATATTTTTACTGTATATTTAGTAGTGAACTATGCATGTCAGAACGGATAATTGTTGAAGTTTAAGACGTTAGGCAAGAGATAGGACAGTGAATGTGGAATCAAAAATGTATACTTAGGATCCTGACCGGTGGAATCGTCACGTGATATCGATTAGCGTTTTAAGACAAACAGTCACTACTTTTATCATTTTCAGCTTTACTGAAAAATGTTTACAGTCATAAAGTAACACAGAATGATACAATAATTACTTTTCCAATACATTATTTGTGATATCTCGTCTAAGTTACAGACGATGTATGTTATGAAGAGTCAATTGTGGTATTACTGTATTTGCAATAACATTTTATGAGTCAACAAACGACTGTAATTCCAGCTGTTACCTAAATTCTTAAAGACTGAATCCATTGAACTGCAAAACTACTGAAATAAGGACAGATATAGGAATTAGACTTCCAACTGAATGCTTGAATCGGTTTCCTAAGCTCTTTTAATAAACCCAGACTAATTCTGCAAGATAACGCGAACGCCAGAAGAAAGGCGTGAAATATGAGAAGAATGCTTTACTCGAAGGCTAATTTATGTACAGAAAATCGAGGTTATTTATAGTGTTTCAGATGGCCTTGGGTTTCTGGAACGGTACTGAACATAGTAGCACATTGCGTAATCGTCCAATTGGAAATGCAATATATAACTCTTCACTTTCTAGATGTTTCTGAGAAACTTCAATTCAATGCTGATTAGATAAAATGTTTTCAAGCGGACTTTTTCCAGGAATACCCTGGACCCTCCAACACCTTTCTCTCACAATATAAGACTTAATCTTTGGGTCTACTAGTCATATCAAATTTTTACAAAACAAGTCAAAGTGGCCTCTGATTCACTCTTAGTTACCAATTGTATATTCATAACTCTCCTGTGATTTTGACATACGTAAAGTTAAAATAGTAATATATATACCATTATATTTCTAAAAGGAAGCCTAACAATAGTCAAATTAAACACTTAACAGTTTCATTTTCTAAAAATGTCCTACAAAGATTCAAATGTACTGAATTAATAGAAACAAACCATTTCTAAGATAATGATATATAGTTTTCGATCATATGCAAACAGATACTAAGTGGAAGCAATAATTCACCTGGAGACGTTTTAAAACTTGATAAGCTCAACCTATGTGGGAAGATAACTGTTTAATAAAGTTAAAAATGATATCATATTAAGTCAATGAAACCACATAATACTTCTAACGACCTGATTTTATAAAATACCAAAAAGTGGATGTGTTGTACTGGGAAAGTTGTAATATGATAAATTCGATTGTCTTCACTAGATAATCTACCCTTACACTCGACACAGGTGAACTGCATTGTCGTGACCTCTCGTTAAAACTCCTAGAATTAACTCTAAAAATTAATCACTGTTGCGTACATGATAGTTATGAGTGTGAGGAGAGGAATTTTCGGAGACTGTTGAGTGAGTCCATAAGCCTACCTAAGTTAGACAACCCCTGAAAATCGTAGAGCCGTCTCGTTGTATGATGGGACTCTTCTACAGGTCTGACGTAGTTATCATCGAAGATGGTCGTGCAAATTGATTGAAGTCAGACATCCAGTGGTCCGAAGGTTATGAGCTATCCGCAAGACCTGAAGGTCACGGTTTCGATTTCAAATGGTGGGACTGCGGATGCGCATTGTGAAGGAATCACACTAGAACAAAACGGCTGTTCAATGCTTCCTGGTTTTTAGTAGTTGTTTAACTTGAACAGATCGTAATCTCAATAATAATCATAAATACTACAATTCAAACAACTAACTGGACTTTCTACTAATAGGTTCATAGAGAAAATGCTAACGAAGAAATAATGAAGTTCGTCAAGAGATAAGTCTACATTACCACCAACCAAAATAGAGTACGCCATTTTGACCGTGAATCGACTAGTTAACTTTGTCGCTTTTTAAGCACATGTGACGTGTTTTGATTTGTTTTTCTCCAGTCCAAAAATGTGTTTTGTATCATTAGTCAGTTAACTACAGAATCATTTAGTTGTTTACTATGTCCAACAAAAACAACAACAAAATATTATAGTCTGCAGTTTACTTTCCCCAAAGATAAAAAATAACGAGATAAACAATAATATTACAAGACATAATATATACGAAAAATTGATAAAAACGAAAGACATTAGTGGTGTTTTCTTTCACAAAATAACAAAGTTTACTTAGTTACTTTACCATAGGATTAAAAAACTGATACTTCACTACAATTATTAATTGTAGACATATATCATGTGTACAACTGGATATGTATGCATGGTATAGACGTAAACATGTGTGTTATCATCTCCATTAGCATGGAAACCAATAGAAGCATTAAAAAAAACAGTAAAACGGTAGATGGGGATAAACTATATATATATATATATATATATATATATATATATATATATATATCGACCGAAAATTGTCCACTCCTAAAGCATAATATATTCTACAGATGTTCCTACGTATGTTCCAACGTATACACCTAATTCATAACCATAAGCTTAGCTGATATGCAACAATTTCTAAAAAAACGAGAATGAAGTTTACAATAATCACATGAACAACAGAAAATACACTAAGTGACGTATAAACTAATATTGAGGTTCAGTTGTTTGTTTTTGAAATGAATCAATTTTTCAGCGACCATTGAATTATTTAAAAAAAGTAGTCTCATTAACTGAAACAGTTAATTGGATATAATATTCACCATGTAAAATAAATCAAATCATTAGGGAAAAAATCAATAAATGAAACGATAATTATTTCCATTATAAATGCTCTCTATCTTCAATGGAGACAATCAAATCACTATCATTTTGTTAAGCATAATCGAGAAAAATTATGAAAAACAGGGGCAGAATTTTTAAATAGACTTTAAGATTGGTAACAATTAACGAGTGAGAATAAAGTGAGTCCTTTAACCAATAGATAAGAAATACATAAGACTGTTTGGTTGAACATTTCTTCAGTTAGTTGGCTAGTAAATCAATTGTATAATGTTTATTTGATAAACATTTAAAGATTGGTTTTGTGAGTAAATTATCAAATGGATTAGCATAAAATCACTCGTATTGTATTAGTCAACTTTACCGTTCACACAGTTTCCTGTCACTATCATATACAACGAAGAACCAGGCCTAAATGTACTTCAGCCCGAATTCCTAAACTATTTAAGCACAGCGAGATGAAATTAAAAAGATGAATTTTAAAAAAAGTCGAATAAAAGTAATATCAATGAAAGGGAATCAGAAATAGAATATGTGGTTTGAAAATAACGAATAAGTTCGGAAATTAAAATGTACTGAGCAAGATAAAAATTAGGATTCACAGATGGACAATGAATTTGTGCCATTTAGTCCGATTTCAAGTCGAATTACGCAATGTTTTTATAAAGTAGGATACATTGGCAGATTATAGAAGACGCAGATATATAGTGTCTTGTAAAACAAATTACTAGAAGAATTTTATGTTCAGTTATTAGAAGCTATATATATATATATATATATATATATATATTTACCGAAGGAATTCAAGTTAGTAATCAAACTAGACATTCATGTACCCGATTCTGAACCACAAGTACTGCGTTAGGGCTTATAACACCATCCATCTGCCACATGAATTAAGTGGTACAGAAATAAAACTTAGAATCCAATAGTCAAGTATTTTTGACTATGAAAAGCCATTGCCGCGAGAAGGCAGTGGGTAGGACTTCCACAACCACTGCCAGGGAAATCCTACCCACTGTCTTCTCGCGGCGGGGATGTTGTTTACGGAATTGAAAGGACGGAAAGCGAATGTCCGGCGCTTTAACCGCGTTGGTGGACACGCAGGGTTCACCTAGAGGAGTTAAAAAACTCTGATTCAAAACCAATGGTGCATATGGGCTCTAGGATTCTGAAGGAAAAAATGGCATATGAACCTATTGTTGGTGACCAGCTACCATGGGAATGCATCTCCTTACGTTGCTCTACTGGCCTTTTGGATTAGACCTCTAGGTTAGAGGCTCAGGAAGTGACTGCCTAAGAAAACCATGTGCTTCGGTTTTGGCATATGGGCAGTATTCCAGACCTCACACAAATCGATTGACGAAGTGTAGCGCATATATATATATATATATATATATATATATAGTGCCTCCTTCTACCAATGTTTACGAACATCGGTTTTACATACAAGTCAAAATATGGGAAATTGCAAACTAAGCCGATTTTTTTAAAACAAACGTCGATCATATTACATGTATCAGAGTTAAGTCATAATATACTTAATACTTTATTTGTACAATATGGAATAGTCTATGAAAAGTGTTATCTTGTAAATGATACCGATGAACAATCATTCAAAACCTGGAAGTTACGAGTAAGCGAAATTGAAAATCTCGATAAAACCACGATGACAAAAAAACGGAAAGGAGTGAAGTGAAAACATATTTTAATAGATATACTGATTCAGTAAAACATTTAGACCTATAAATGCACTAATCTTTCTTATTCTTGATAAAATTTTATAACAACTGATATTGTGACAAAAACAATTACTTTATTGTCAGGAGTATAGAGTTGTGGAGATTACTGAATTTCATTGAAATCACCAAAGTTCGACAAACTGAGGAGTCTCACCCTAAGATAAAACATCCTTCCAGTGCCTCCACGTTTTTAATGGTTGTCTAACTTTGATCGGTTTGTGATTTAAATGAAATTACTTTATTATTTTTCAGCTAAATGAGGTTAGGTAAGGTAGTGACGAATAAGAAAACATAAAAAAGTGGGAAATTAAGATAGGATACTAACATACCATAGTAGATGTGTGCATTTTATCAAATCAATTTCTTTCTCAATAAGTATTTTTTCTAGTCAAGTCAAATAAATGGTCTACATAATTTGATAATATACATAGTTTACAGTTATACAATATTTAAGAAAATAAAGTTGATGTTATTGCTACACACTACATTGATCTGATCAAGATGTTGATGATCCCGATAGTCGATTTATAGCATTATAATGAAAATTGAGTAATGAAACGAATTACTCCTAAATGGGGGATTTAAGGAAATAATTAACGAATTTTAACTATCACATAGATCTTATTGTAACAAACATGATCGAACTCAAATATAATCGTGCCTATAATAAATATGTACAGCAAAATGAATCAATTTAAGAGAAAGTTAATAATATTGTTTTCACCAGAAAAAAAAAAGATATTAATTGTAAATGAGGATTAAATTAGCAATCATCAGTAAATATAGCTGGTTAATATCAAGCTACAATGTACAATAAGTGAACTTGACGATGAATTAAATATCTTATGCAATATACTGAAAATTCTTTTCGAAATAACCTGCATTCATGAAAGAAATTTAATTTAATTAACAAAGTTTATTACAGTAAACAGTTGTATTGATGTATACAACAACAACAACTACTATTACTACTACTACTACTACTACTACTACTACTACTACCATACTTCAATCAATACATTGAATGATAGCAATTTTAATAAAGTAACAGGAATCATACATCTCACCTGAGATATGTTACTCATTCCATTTTCTTCTTTACTCAAAGGTAAATCATTTATATCGACCGAAATCTGATAAATATAGAAAAAAGAAACACGTGAATGTCAAAATTCGTCATCTATATGTCATTTGTGAATAATATAAGCTTACAGAGAAAAACGAAACTGATGTTATTGTTATTTTAAAAAAGCCTAACTCTCATAAACATACACTAATGATCATCTCCATCTATTAACGAAAAGAGAAAGATGGTTACCAAGTAGGAAGGACTTTACTAATTATTCATTTAAACACATAAACATTGGTACAAGGAGGCACCAAATACATATGCATCACATAAATCATTCGATTTTTGTGAGGGCTGGAATACAGCCCGGGTATCTAAATCGAGCCACGTGGTTTTCCTAAGGGGCCCCACACCCGGAGCCTTTGACCTAGAGGTCTAATCCGAAAGGCAATAGAGCAACGTAAGGAGATGCAGTCCCATGGTAACCGGTCACCAGCGCTTGGTTTATATGCCATTTTCTCCTTCAGGATACTGGAGCCCATGTGCATCACTGGTTTGGAATCAAGGTTTGCCAACTACCCTAGATGGACTCTCTGTGTCCACCAACCCGGTTAAAGCGCCGGGCACTCGCTTTTCGTCTTTTCAATTTCGTAAACAACATCCCCGCCGCGAGAAGGCAGTGATTAGGACTTCCCTGTCAGTTGTCGTATTCACGTGGCCATGTGAGAGCATTTTGGGAGAGCTGACTCTTCCTACTATCGGCCATACCACGGCATTTGAGGGAAGTGACTTTACTAAATTGAACTAAATTAATCTGGTCAACCTGTCAATCACTAAAGCTAACGATATGGAGTAGACATGTATCGGTTAACGTATCACACTCTACACTGGTCTAAGGAGGAGACATTAAAGACATGGAAACCAAAGGAGTTGGAGAGATAATAAACAGGATACATGTTGTGTCCAGTGTCTGCTGACCAGAATTATGTGACAAACCACCAATCAGAATCGACTTTACTTTGATCTATTTCGCGTTTACCACTTACGATTGCTTAATTTCTCGGACCAGCAACATTAATCTTGACTCAGCAGCCAAGTTCTTATTGGACCGTTATTTGCAAGCTTCTCTCTATACCCTGCCTTTGAGTCCAAAAATTAACAACAAGCCTCTACTACATTTATACTTCAAACAGACATGGTTTATATACAGACATAACGCACCGCACCACATTGTGAAATGAAGAATATAATTATACAAAGGTGGTGGCTGTGAATATGGAAGACTGTGAGTAATAGACTAGTCAGATATTAGGAATAGTAAATCGAATGATAATAGTTTATGGGTTAGCCAAAAGCTTATGATAAACGTAATACATAAACATAATTTAATTGCTAAATGTTTATACAATGTACCATGTCACTCATTGAATTGGTATTCCACTCATTTGTTCTTATAGTGGCTGGTCCTGGGTCCTGGTTTCAAATTGAATATACTGAAAAATGTTGCGCAAGTGCTAACGCAGCTAAATCCCCAAGGAAGACACAAATGTACAGTTAGGGAACACTGACATACTCATGGTCTATGGTGCACATGGATTCTCTTAGTCCTATAAATGGAAAATAGTTCATGCCAACTGTTGGCACCTTTTCTAAGTGTTCAAAAGTTCGTTGCACGAAGTCTACATCAACTAAAGCTACTGTGTACAAGTCACAACAAGTATTCACCGGTTTCGGGTCTTCAGAAGTATTAGTATCTGCAAATGGAACTCAGTCTATTTCGGAATCTTTAAAATTTTGTTTTGACAATGCCATTAAAAATATCAAGACATTTCCTACCACTCACAGTCAAACTGACAAGTTAAGAGATTTGTCGACATTTAAAAAAAAACTACCTAAAGCCGAGAGGGAAGGAGAGGTGGAGGATGTAATCCGAAAATTCTTATTAATCTACCGAGCAACGCCGAACCCATCAACAGTAAACCAAGTAAACCCAACAAAAGCAATGTTTTCAAGAGAAATTAGGATACCAATGGAATAGATGGAACTAGGACCCAGCACCAGTCACTACAAGAACAAACGAATGAAGTGCCAATTCAAGATACAACAGAACAGTTCACTAAACATAGTCCGAAAGAGACTAAGAAAATAAGAAAATGAAAAGTACGAGCGATAATACTGGTTCGAGATTTGGAGGATGACAAAAAATGCATTTGGGACTGTGATAGGTTTGAACCATTTCAATTAAGGTCGCAAACCATAGAGGATTTCACGGATTCAAAATGAAGTAAACCAAATCTATCATTCTGAAAGGAATACTAGAGAATGCGAAAACAGAAGGACGAATCGGTCAAATAAATGATCATTATTATCATGACTGACTTTTAAAGCTTGATCACATACTAAGGACAAAGAATTGTATTGACTACTGAATTAAATATAGAGACAAAACTGTGTAGCGTATTTACCTGATATATTTGTAAGTAAACGACTGGGTGCCAAAATTTTAAATTTTTTGTTTAGTTTCTGTTCAGCAAAAAGTTGCACTAGTTATTTAACGTTTCCTATTTTTCTCTAAAAATCGTAATTCTTAATGTTCTAACTAGAGATGTAACCACTGTGATGAATTTAAAAACCGTTTAGTTGTTGGATAGTAAGTGACTTCATTTGTCACCCCATGAAACCTATCAAACAGACAGTATGGTCCTTGTAGGTTCCAAAATAGTAATTGTGACTTGAATTCGTGACTTACAAAAGTAGCCCCTGATATATGCATAGGTTCCCAACCACCTACATTTACACAAACATCTGACTCCCAACTAGCGATGATCACTTTCTAGGTTTATTTTGTTTATTTATTTTAACACATAGATATTAGTACAAGGAGGCACCAAATACATATGCGCCACACAGATCTCATTTGATATGTGTGAGGGCAGTGATACTGCCCGGGTGCCCAAACCGAAGCAGGTGGTTTTCTTAGGGAGCCACACCCCGAGACTTCGACCTGAAGATCTGATCCACAAGGCAGTGGAGCATCGTGAAGAGATGCAGTCCCATGGTAGCCAGCCGGTGACCAACGATTAGTTCATACGCCATTTGTTCCTTCAGGATACTGGAGCCAGCCCATGTGCACCATTGGTTTGGGGTCCGGTTCAAGCGCTGGATATCGCTTTTCGTCCTCTCATTTTCGTAAACAACACCCCCGCCACGTGAAGGCAGTGAGTAGGACTTCCCTGGCAGAGGCTATATATGCATGGCCACGTGAGAGCATTTCCAGAGGGAGAGCGGACTCTCCCCACTCTCGGCCGTACCAGGGCATTTGGGGGCTTACCAGGTTATCCGACAACTGATCGCTTACGTCATCAATATTACGAAATTCACTTCTGAATCATAGAAGCGAAATTAATATACATTATCTCATTACAACTAATGTTCACTTGTTTTTCATTTTCAAACTTGTTCTCACGAATCACTATTTAAGCAATGGGCTTCGATCATTTCGATAAAGCCAGATAATATCAAATCTGAAAATTACACTCATTTGTTATGATTTCGTAATCACAACTAATGACAAAATGCCTATAAAATGTGACATTTAGAGCCCACTGAAATTTCTACAGAGTGGAACCAACATCAATAAACTCTGTCTAACCAAAAGCATGAATAATTTGTTTATATTTATTATTTCTGGAACCAGATACGTGTTCAAAAATAACTATTACGCAAAGTTTAAAACCAAATTAACAGTTACTGCTTGTAATCACCTAAAAATTTCGAGCTTCGCTATAAACGGAAACTGGAAACTAAAAAGGGAATTTCATAAGTTAATCACCTACCATTCTAAGAAAACTGATTTCATGTTAGGGCCACTCTTGGTTGGAGCTATGATAGTATGTTTCACTATCAATATAGGGGCTTAGGTGCTTAACAGAACAGTATACAAGAACCACTGTCATACAATAATTTAATCACGAGTAATAAAACTATTCCAATAAAATCGTGTGTCCCATAGAGAGTGTATATGAACCTCACCAATTAAACATAAATCCACAATCACATACACTGCGTAAAGGCAAATGATAAAACACAACAGTCCAACTGAAGAGAACAACATACATGTAGATTATCTAGGCCAAACTAATATATCCTAACATCCAATCCAAAGCTAATCTAACTTACACTGATAAAAAGCCTCTAGTCTGGAACGTAGCTCAAACTAACACTAATATACAAAATCAAGTAGTGGTCTCGTATCATGAAATGACTGTTCTGTGGCGTGCACCATACAACCTTTGAGCATATTTAACATATGACCTGACCATATATACAAGTTCACTAGACAAGTGGTTTCAACTGACTTATTTCTCACAATCAGAACCCCATTGCTAAAGTAAATGTTGTTCCCGGAAAAGTGGTAGCACACATAAACAATGCTGTAAATTCATCCCAGTTAACTATATCCAGTCTCATTTAAAATTTTATTTATAGCAACCATATTTCACAAATTGCCTTACCACACTATAGAAGGTATTTAGGTGAGTACTTAAACAACAGTGGGTCATTTGGGAAAAAGGTCATTCACATTTCACATTTATGTAAGAAAATAAATGTAGGATATACAATATCTTAAAAGATAGAGTATTTCACAAGACTTACTCGTATATCATGTGTACTATAATAACGTAATGCATCCAGAGTGTCTGAAACTGAGCCACGTTCCTCGGCTTTGATTTCTGAATTCAAATCATCGCTATCATTGTCATCTGAAGCGAGGCTATACTGAGCTGATGTACCACATTTTGGACGAATCCCACTTAGCAAATTTTTTTGAGCCAAAAACTGAAATTGACTACCTGCTCGTTTACGCTGTGATCCATTCGAGTTCCCAACAGCATGACTGCTGCTATTCCCGTCACTTTCTTCATCGTCCGAACAAACGTTATCTTCACTTCCCGCCCTTGCCAATCTTTCGCCTGTTAACAACTTTTCGAATGCCCATCGCAAAACTCCAAAGGCTAAATATTCATTGGAAGGTTCTTGACTTCCATTTTGATCATCTGATGAATCGAAATTGCCTGTAAGATTTACTATCAAACGAGCACTAAGAATTCCTGTTTGAGAACAAGCGATGGCATCTGCTTCTGTTAACAAGTAGTGGTGTAATGTTTTTGTTAAGCACATTTCTGGTGAATAAGATTCGGGACTTGTAGCGAATTCATTACTATTTTGATAAACCCCACTGAACTGAATAAAGCTACACAGAACTGTACAAGAAACAGTAGAATGTAAGACACAATATTAAAAACAAGCTATACTAATTAGATATTCTTAATAGGTTTACTTCATATTCGTATGTTCTTATGCTTATTTCGCAAGAAATATTGCAAAACTTTTGAAATCCTCATGAGTTCCTTTCGGGAAAAAGTAGGTACTTTGTGTTCCCCATGTGACACACTGATGAACTCGTTTTGTAATATCGTACAGATAAATTAAATATCCGTCGTTGACTAAATGCGTCTACTGACTTGCTAATAGTAAGTTGACTCATTCACCAGGTACTTGGGTATGAGCCACACATTAAGTGCGAGGGCTAATGATACTACACAGTTGTCTAGACAGAAGTACGTGGAGCGGAGCTCAAATATTTAGCCTAGTGGGTGAAATCCGAATGTCTTAACCAGTAAGCTACCGCTTAAGGAGAAAGCAATTGAGATTTCGGTAGCTAACAGAATGGTGTGCGAACTTTCCAGACATTATGTAACTACGTTATGCAGGGCATGATAATCACCACTATGTTATTCCTCGATTAAAGTGATGCCTAAATACATGAGTGACATATCTTGTTGTTCAATTGCTATTCAATGCATACACAAACAAGAAACGACCTAAATGACTTATTTCATGTTGTCAATAGTTGTTGCTACCTTGACGTGGTGGTCGAGCTTCCCTATCGTGATGAAGCAACTGAGCTATACTGGCTGGAACAACCGTTCCTCACGGTCCTACCATGCCAGACAGGTCGGTTGAAGAGCGGTAAGACTAAAAGCAACAAAACCAAGGTCCGAAGGCGAAGTCGTATTGCTGACTGTACAGAGGTGTGACAGCAGTAAGGTGTTTCCTTCAGGCAACCAGCATAACAGCGATGCTGCCTTCCCAAAAGGAGGGGTGGGGTTAGAAAAGGCCGACCCTAAAAATGCACACCTCGCCTTATCCCACGGATATCCGTCTCCGGCGGTAAGGTCTCAACAAGTACGGAGCTAACACAAAAATTACTCATAAAAAGGTTGTGTATGACTGACCTCAAGCAGCTGTCCATTGGGCACTGCGGTCACGCTCTCAGGTCACTGTGACCACCCCTAATCCAATTTCCCTTTCAGGCACTTCCAGTAGAACCCTTCCACGGTGTGGGCAACCGGGAAGTGATAACTGCCCTCATACCTCTAACAGCACTCAAGACCACTGTATTCATAATCAACCTCCCTCTTCAATTCCTATTATTCCTCCTACATCGATTTTCAAATCTAAACTCCCTCTTTTGGCTTCGTCCTCAAGTGTCACCACAGCCAACGATTCTTGTGCGCGAAACGCTGTTCCAGGTCTACTGAAACCTCGCTCCAAACTACACATTGGAGCCTTCAACGTACGCACACTATGCCAAATCGGTCAGCAGGCTTCCTTGGCTAAAACCTTAGAATCTCGTACCACTGATGTATGCTGTGTCTCCGAAACACGAATACAGGATCCTAGCGTGGTCATTCACTCGAGCTCACCTCGGCAAAACGGAGAGCTGACGATATACACTCTCCGTGTATCTTTTATTTATTTATTTTTATTTGAACACATAAATATTGGTACAGGGGGGCACCAAATATATATGCGCCACACAAAACAATGATAATTTGAAGAGAAGGAGAAAAGAGAAAAAAAAGTAATGAACGTGGGGAATTATAAAAAGAGAGAGAGAACAATGGTGGGGGAAACGGTAAGGTACAATCAGAAGAGATCTTTCAGTTAAGGAAGATACAACCACTTTTTATGAAGAAAGTAAAAGAAGGCTACAGCAGGATCGCCACTGGCTTCTATTCTGAGCCATATCTGATAACGTCTCTAGCCACTACGTTACACCGTCTCTCGGACCCCAACCAGGGAGTCGTGAAGGACCAACACAAGCCAGCCCTTAGCAGCTTTCTTTCATACCATGAAACCATGTCATATACTGACCACCTCTCCGCTTTAAGGTCGAGAAATACTACCATTGTGGGGCTTCTGAATGTGTGTCTATGTTCTAGGACCTGACGTAATGTGAATATTTGATCAATACAACCACGTCCAGGTCGAAAACCAACCTGGTTTTCTCTAGTCTGCTCTTCCCGAGCTTTGGTTAGACGTCGAAGTATTATTGAAGCTAATATTTTAGACACTATATTAGTCAAACTAATTCCTCTGTGATTGTCACAGGAGGACTTTTGTCCATTCTTATAGACTAGCACAATCACTGATTGAGACCAGTCAGATGGGATTACGTCCAGTTCCCAGATTCTACCTAAGACCTCAGTCAATCTCGCTGCTAATACTGGACCGCCATCCTTAAAAATCTCAGGGGTAAACCTGTCAGGGCCTGCTGCTCTCCCATGCTTCAGATTTCCTATAGCTTTATCAACTTCGTAAAGAGTCGGAGGACTTACATCAACTTGCCATTCAGGTCGACTGGAGATCGTGGGAAATCGAAGTGTGGCTGAAGGCCAGTTGAACTGATCCCTAAAGTATTCTGCCCATCGATCCAATCTCCTGGATTGAGAATGAATAATATGTCCATCTTTCTCTGAGATTGTGTCGCTAACAGTTGGGTTCCTAATACCGGTTTCCTTAACAAGTCTGAACAGTTGCCTGTTGTTACCTATTGCTTCTGCCTTTTCCATCTCTCTTGCTTTCGCTACCCACCACTGTTCAAGATCATTGCGTAAGCTTCTAGTCAGCTTACGCTTAAGCTGACTCCGCTCTTCGTTATGTTCAGAGCCAGATGGAATGAGTTTTCGAGCATCTATCAGCGCTGTAGACGCTGCTGAGATCCAGTGATTCTCCATGACCTTATGGTTTACCGTACTTGCAGACATCACTGCTGTTTCTACAGCTTTTCGGATGTCATTCCACGCTGCCTCAGGGTGGGCGTCACTTACATGGCTGTCTAACTGTTTTTCTAGATGTTCCTGAAATATACTCTTAGTTTGACTATCATTAAGTAGGACCCTAAGGGGTTTCCTTGCAGCATGTTTCCTACGTCCAGTAAGACGTAGACAAATACGCGCTCGCACTAGAGCATGATCTGAGTCTAAGCATGTGCTCCAGAATGAGCGACAGTCTTCTATCGAGCCCCTCCATCGGTGGCTGATAGAGATGTGATCTATTTGGGTCCAGCGTTGAGACGAATTAGGGGGTCGCCATGTTAAAAGATGTTTTTCCTTATGCTTAAAGTTAGTGTTTGCAAGAAACAGGCGGTTATCTGAGCATAGCTGCAACACACGGTCGCCGTTATCTGTTCTTTGAACCGCGACACCATAAGATCCACTCAGGTGTCTTTCCTTTTCGCTTAGTTTACCTACTTGAGCATTAAAGTCACCAGCCACTATTACTACATCTGAACGCCTAGCTTTTCGGAGAAGGTCGGAAAGCTTTCTGTAAAACTCATCTTTTACATCATCTGAGCTGCAGTCAGTGGGAGAGTAGGCAGAGACGACGAAGAGGCAACGACGAGTGTCCCTATCTTTTCGAGTCCTTACTGTTCCGTTTAGTCGGACAGCACACAAACGACTGTCTACTGGGATCCAGTCTAAGAGAGCTAGTTCTGCCCTAGGACTCAATGCTATACCTACGCCAGCGAGGCCACGGGAAGCAGCATCAGGGCTTCCAGCGGTCAAATGAATGACACTACTAGGATCTTGTGTGCGCGTTTCGGAGACGCAGCACACATCGATGGAGCGAGATTCTAAAGTCCTAGCTAAGGAAGCCTGTTGTCCTATTTGGCACAGTGTTCGGACGTTGAAAGCTCCTACGTGTAGTTTGGAGCGTGGTTTCAGGAGACCAGGAATAATATTCCGCGTACTCGAATCGTTCGCACTAGCGGGGCGAGGTGATAAAAGGACGTAAGAAGGGTTAGTCGTGGAGATAAGAGAGTTATTAGGAGGTGTAGGAAGGATTTGAATGTGACCAACTTGGTCTCGTGTGCTGTTACGGGTATGAGGGCTGATATCACTTCCCGGTTGCCCACACCGTGGAAGGGTATTTCTTGAGGGACCTATAAGGGAAATTGGATTAGTGTTGTTCTTAGCGACCTGAGTGTGTGACCGCAGAGCCCAAAGGACAACTGTTTGAGGCCGGTCGCGCACGGCCTTTTTGTGGGAGGTTTTTAATGTGTTAGCTCCGTTCTTCAAAGGGCCTTACCGCCGGAGACGGAAATCCGTGGGGTAAGGTGAGGTGTGACAATTTTAGGGTCAACCTTTTCTAACCCCTTCCTTCCTTGTGAGAAGGCAGCATCGCTGCAGATGCTGGTTGTCCGAGGGAAACACCTTACTGCTATCACACCTCTGTACAGTCAGCAGTACGACTTCGCCCTCAGACCTTGAGTTGCTGCTTTTAGTCTTACCGTTCTCCAATCGACCTGCCTGGCATGGTAGAACCTGCAGGAACATGTGTTCCAGCCAATATAGCTCAGTTGCTTCATCACGATAGGCAAGCCCGACTACCACGTCAAGGTAGCAGCTACGGTGGGGTCGCATCTGCTGGGATCACCGAGTAAGTAATAGTGAGGTTAGACACCAGGTATTAGGGAATGATGGTAAATCAGTTGATGAGGTTATGAATCTTCATCGACTGAGATGGTTGGGCCACGTGTTGCGTATGCCTGAACACCGATTACCACGGCGCGCAATGCTATCCGGTGTTAGGGATGATTGGAAGAATGTTAGGGGCGGCCAAACCAAAACGTGGCATCAGTCTTTGAAGTAACTAACTTCTGGTCTGTGTCATGTTCGTAGATGCAGACTACTTGGTTGGGGTTCGCGTGACTATCGTAACCAATGATTGGAGACTCTGGGTGACATGGCTCAGAATCGATCACAATGGCGTAGGTGTATACACTCTTTGTTTTCTCTTAAACCATGAGATTAAAATTACTTTATACCTTTCTGTAAACTAATTCTTTCTTCCTGTACTATATCCTTATATGCAATCTTTCTGTTATATACTACCAGTATTGAATTAACTACTTCTATGAATCCGGTGTTCATCTTGTTGTGCTAATGAGGTATGGTAACTTGGACCGATGTGTATATATGCATGGTCCTACGTTATAGCTGACTGACTGACGATCCTCTTAGCTTTCTGCTACCAGGCTTTCCACTTCCGATTGGTCTTACATACTACTTATGTCCATCGACATAAGTAGTATACGCCACACTTTCATCTACTACAGATGCAATGTTCCGGTGAATCTAATAGTAATCATTACAAATATTGTAAGACAATAATTACACATATCTCTCTTTAAAACTGGAATAAATAATATGAAAAAAATCAGTGATTGCCATGTTATACCTTTCCGAATACAAATGTTTGATCGTAAATAAGAAAATAATACCTTCTTAGACTTCTTACTATACTCATTGAGGTTAGTTTGATTGAGACGATTGATTAGTGGTTATTTGAAGTCGTAAAACCCTCTAATCTTGAACGTGAATTTAACTCGACGCGTTATGAATCTTCATCGACTGAGATGGTTGGGCCACGTGTTGCGTATGCCTGAACACCGATTACCACGGCGCGCAATGCTATCCGGTGTTAGGGATGATTGGAAGAATGTTAGGGGCGGCCAAACCAAAACGTGGCATCAGTCCTTGAAGTCACTAACTTCTGGTCTGAGCCATGTTGGTAAATGCAGACTGCTTGGTTGGGATCCGCGTGACTATCGTAACCAATGGTTGGAGACTCTGGGTGACATGGCTCAGAATCGATCACAATGGCGTAGGTGTATACACTCTCTATCTTCCTTTAAACTAAGAGATTAAAATCACTTCAAATCTTTCTTTCTACGAACTAATTCTTTCTTCCAGTACTATCTCCTTCTATGCAATCTTTCTTCTATATATTACCACCACTGAATTAACTACTTCTATGAATCCGCTGTTCATCTTGTTGTGCTAATGCGGTATGGCAACTTGGACCGATGCATATACGTGCCTGGTCCTCCGTTGCAGCTGACTGACTGTCAATAGTTGTAAAAATCTGATTTGACAAATCAGTCTTTAAAACAGAGTGCTTAAAGTGTTGAGAATATATTAATAGCCACTACTTATATGCCAACATTTGGAAAGTTTTCTGGTGATTTACGTCAAGTCTTCAAATAAAAAATTTATTCTACTCTGTAAAACAAGAGAAAAAACGATATGAGGTTGACCGAACAAACTCCGGGTATAAGTTTTTTAATAATTTTGAAGATCTGGTAGGCATGTCCATGGTGGCATATACCTAGATGCGTTTTATTATAGTTAATAACAGAAAAATTAAGTAAGAGAACTTTACGAAAAGAAAATACATGCTGCAAAGAATCTACAAAGACGACAACCAGAATACTGAGAACTAGTGTGTAATATTGTATTGGTGAAATAGCATGTATTATACGAGAGTACCAATCGTTTTAGTGCACCGAATAAACAATGAGACTCTGCAGATTTTGAGCCGATGTTCTAATAAGTTACTAATTCATCAACATATTTACTTTTTCATCATATTTAATTACACAAAATTCTAAAATCCCACGTGTGCTAGCTTCATTCAATTGCTGATAGCTGGAATTGTTCTGTACCAGTTCCTCATTTTATACTGATGTTCAAGGTAATGTTTACATAGAATATCATCTTGTGTCTGTATGAGTCCCAATCAAAATCAAGAGATAGAGTCACTAGCTGTTGTTCACAGCGAAGTTGTAAGGTTCAGAAGTTTTCGATGGAGTTCTGGAGACATTTATAACCTTTAGCTGGAAACCTTAGTTGATAAGGTTTACAACTTTCACAGATGTTTTCTTCTCCTTTTTCTTCCAAATCTTGATTCCTCATATCATTATATATTTTATTACCCAATCTCACTAGTTCCTAAGGAACAATATTCTGTATGTTCAGACATGCGTTACTATTTATATTACTACTATTTCGATTTGTCCACTTTTTATCTTATCAACTTTTTCACTTTATATTGATGCGAAGTTTAGAGTATTGAAAAGTGACAATTTATGCCAGGTCCTATGTTGTGTAAATGACAACTAGAACCAACACTATGAAAAACATCTATCAACACAATATTAAGTTTATATGATAAATTTAAACTGTAAATAGTATATAAAGTCATGGCTTCTCTTAAATAACTATTCTAATATTAACAAATGAAACGGATCTGGAATTAAGGTAAAGCCAAACAAGAAAATCTAAAATTTTTCAAGAATATTAGTTGGAAAGAAAAGTTTTCAGCAATTCGTGAATTTTTCTAAAATCTTACCCCCAACACTGTTGATTGATAAATTGTGAATTAAAAACTCGATGCACGTTGTCTCCAAAGTTTTGATCTGTAGACATTTAGACAAGAAGTAAACGTGTGGTATTAGGTCTTCGGGCACAGTAAGCCTGTTAGAAGTGGAAAAGTTTTTAATTAGGAAGCTGCGATGACAAACGGAGTAGATAAATTAATGTTGATAGACTAGAAAGAACTAACTTCTACTAGTTGATATGGTTACTGAATATGAAATTAAGTACTTTATCACATTGTCGGGATAAACCGGATCACTGTCTAATAAAAAGGGTACAGTATATTGAAAGCTACTTACTAAAAATGTGCTTTATTGAATAGTATAGAAATATATTTGCTGACAGAAGCTACTCTAAAATGTGGATTTACTAAATTTCTAATGGGATGTGAATGAATTAGCATCAGTCTAGTTCCTATTACTGTAATGGTTCAAACAATTAATCCTTTTCACTCACTATTTTGACCATAGGATTTAGTGGTACAGAAAGGAACATGGGACTATGGGAATCTTACAAAAACTTTTATCGGTGACATGAAAAGACATACTACGAACGGTGTACTTCAGCAGTCGCTAAATATATTTTCCTTGTCGCGTTTTATTTCTCAACTAAAGTACCGGAACCCATTCTACTAGCACAAACGAAAACTTTTACCCTACATGTGTTTGAGTTTATAAAATTAACGTTTGGGTTTAAATCAACATATCATAATGATGATACCGATGACTGCTAGATAGTACGAAAAGTGAGTAAAAGGATTTATTTGGTACCTAATTACTAAAAACCAGTACTCACAAGCTAACGTACCTGATTTATTTAGCACCAGATCACGAGGCGTAACCTCTCCGATGACTTTTAAAATTCGGGAAACTCGAAAGTAATTGCTTTCGCTAATAGGGAACGTTCACTAATTAGTGTATGCGCAAGAATGTGATGTAGATGTTCTTGTTCTCATCTTAAACAGTCTAAATACCATCACTTAGAAAAATTGGATACTTTAAACTACAGAAACGTGCTGCTGTGTATAATAACAGAAAATTCACACAAACTTCCGTTGTTCACTAATATACAACATATAAGGGATGAAATAAACCCAAACTTCCTAACCATTTCAATATTACATAAATGTGCTAAAACCTTTGTGCATGGTGGAAACACTAGGTGAAATACATTCAAAATTCCAAAAATCTCAAAGAATACTAAACATATTCAGGGTTTGAGTCTAGGTAGTTCTCTGAAATGAAGAACATGAGGGTCGATTTTTTTCAAAACTAATTTGCATATCAAACCTTTTAAATGAATATCAATCGTGAAACAAAGCCATCATTCTATGCTAACGATATATACGCTACAAACTCCTATTATTAATAATACTTTTATTACAAGTAAAGTGAAGTAAGACAGTTGCCAAAAGTAAACAACGAATATCCGAAAAACCTGATTCCCATAAACAAAACTTACTTTAAAGTAAGCATATAATTTAATACCGCTTCGAAAACATCCGCAGATGCATCAATAAACACCTTGAGTGAAGACGAAGACTTTGATCTAGTCACTTTCAGTATACAACCATGTGTAGAGCTGCAATCGTCTTCGCCTTCTGACTGAAAGCATTTTTTCAACTCCTCACTCAATATGGAAATTGTTTTTTGGTTTCCATGATAAACGTTCTGACCAACAATAAAAGTGACATCTGTCCTCTGAATGGTATCAGGATCACATTCAAGTACACCCGATAATTCTTTGCAGAAATAATTAAATATTTTAGCTTTGGACTTTTTAGAAGAAGCTCTTTGGCAGTTGATAAGTGCGCACATATCCAAAGAACGAAATTTATGGTAAGTACAATCGCTAATAATAAGATCCGTTAGCAAATGGGATGAACAATTATATGACGTAACACAATTGCCTAACGAGTCATCTTTGATGATGCTGCAGCCACAACTTACCTTCAATAATCACGACAATAAAATGGAATTGAACTCGAACAATGTACTGATACGCTTAACAACAACATCGACAGGTAAATTAACTCTACGCAGGCATATGAAAATATTATCTCATGCCCATAGATATGGTTACGCACTTGTAGGTCGAATGAAAGCTACCCTATTGGTGCGTTGACTACGGAAATAAGTCATTCAGCATTAACCGGCAAATTTAAATTTTTTTCTTCACAACATGGAAATTCACTCATCCAATTCGTAGCTTAAACGACAAAATTTTCTTGAATATACACCTGCTTATCGTTGACAGTTTTCCTTTCAACAAGCTCATTATCCAGTTTAGAAATATTATCATTTTTACCTGTATTTTTAACTGTTTTAAATTGCGCTACCCTGGGAATTCTTAGTTAGTAAATCAATTCGGATACTTCTCGTCATAATACTGGCCTTACGATAGTGTCTTTGGTTGGATAGTTGGATGTACATCTAAATTCCGAAGCCTTAAAGGACTACATGGGATGATCTGAAATCTAGAGTCAGGCCGGCCTGTAGTCTCACTGTATGACTCAAGCGTGTTGTATTGGTAAATAAATCCCCAAAGTAAATAGCTCTGTAGGTTTTCGACATTGGGTGCTGACCGCATTAGTTTTACTGGACTCACCTAACTGAAGGTTCTCGGTCATGCATCCGCATCAGATCATGAGTGTGAAGGCCGTGCTCAACAACCACTGTAATAGCTACCCACGTTAGATCAGACGATCCTCGATATATTGAAAGCCTATCAAATATATCTTCGAACCTCATCGCTTCTGTCTTTTGATTTCACTTCGTGCGTACGATTCATATTAGGTGTTACTAGTTAAAGCGTTGTCAAACTCCGAATACATGTGGCATCTTCATTGGTGAGCCCGACGTCAAACAGCCCATGGGCATCTCCATTGCACATGGTCTCTAAAAAAGACAACAACAATTGGCGTCCAACTGGTAACTATCAGCGATTGAATACAAAAACCATTCCTAATCGTTACCTGTTGCCTCATATTCTCGATTTGACAGCTACCATGAAAGGTGCAACTATCTTTTCGAAAATCCACTTGGTTAAAGCGTATAACCAAATCCCTATGGTTACGGACAATATTCCGAAATCAGCTACCATAACCTTCTTCGAACTCTATGAACTTTTGCGAATGCCTTTCGGTCTGAGAAACGCGGCACAGACTTTCCAAAGGTTCATAGACGACGTTTATCGAGCTCTCAACTTTGTACATGCGTATGTTGATGACTGCCTAATTGCAAGTCCGGACAGAGAATCACATCTTCAGCATCTGAACCTTGTTTTCAACAGACTACAAAAACATGGCATTACTGTAAACATTCAGAAATGCCAAATCGGAACCGACTCCTCAGACTTCTTAGAACACACCATCGATGCGCAAGGTATCCGACCCCTTAGAACAAAAGTGGTGGCCATTCTGGTTTACCCAGATCCGACCACCATCAAGCAATTGAGCACGTTTAATGGCCTTGTAAGTTTCTGTAGACGGTTCATACCGAAATGCGCGTTACTTATGAAACCCCTTACCGACCAACTTCGTGGAAATGCGAAATCCATCAATCTGGATGACACCGGTTAAGGAACGTATCGCTCAGGCAACCATGCTCGCTCATCAGGACACTGAAGCGCCCATTAGTATCGCAGTAGACGCATCCGACTCAGCAATCGGAGCAGTCTTACAACGATAGGTTAACCACTGCTGGCAACCTTTGGCATTTTTCTCTAGACGGTTGCTAGATACTGAATCGAGGTACAGCATATTCGGTATGTCACTTCTAGCTATGTATTGTGCTGTCCGGCACTTTCAACACTATATCGAAGGCCGTGAATTTATCATTTTTACCGACCATAAACCACTTACCTTCTCCTTAAGCTCATCTTCGGACAAGTACTCACCACGTGAGTCTCGACAACTGGACTACATTTCGCAATTTACTTCAGATATTCGACACATTTCTGGAGCAAACAATGTGGCCGCAGACGCCTTGTCTCGTATAAATTCATTGAACAGTTCTCAAGGAATCGACCTTTTAAAACTCGCCCAGCTTCAGAAAGGATACAGTGATCTTCAGCACGAGTTGTCCTCAACAACACTTAAACAGATGGGATCAGGTAAGGAAACCTTACTTTGTGACACATCTACAGCTAGGGATCGCCCAATCGTGCCGAAACATTATCAACGCAACATCTTTAATAGGTCACACAAACTTTCTCGTCCAGGTGTTTGTGCAAACATCAAGCTTATAGCAGAACGGTTTTGCTGGCCTAGTATGAGTAAGGACGTGAGGGATTGTGCACGCTCTTGTGTAAGCTGTCAGGAATCTAAGGTGTTAGACACGGCAAATGTCCCTTAGACTCTTTCGAAACTCCCGACTCTCTTTTCGATCATGTTCATCTGGATTTGGTAGAACCTTTACCAGATTCAAATGGATATTCTTATCTTTTAACATGCGTAGACCGTTTTACTCGATGGCCAGAAGCAGTACCCATCAAAGATATTACTGCTGAAACAGTGGCCCGCGCCCTCGTCGAGAGGTGGGTAGCAAACTTCGGCTGCCCAACAACCATTACTACAGATAGTGGACGTCAGTTCGAATCTGAACCTTTCCGTTGTCTGACCGCAATATTAGGAATCACTCGGCTCCGAACGACGGCCTACCACCCACAAGCAAACGGGTTATTAGAACATTTTCACCGACGACTGAAAGCGTCACTATCAGCCCCAAACATTTCTCAGTGGACTGACGCTTTTCCACTCATCTTACTAGGTATTCGCAATGCAGTGAAAGCTGACATTGGATACACTGCATCTCAACTCGTTTATGGTACGACCCTTCGACTTCCAGGAGAATTCGTGGATCCTTCATCTTCTTCGATGAATATGGATCTAACCTCCTACGCGAACAGGCTTACAAACGCAATGCGTTCAGTTAAACCTGTTTCCACTCGACCACAATCAACTGATGTTTTCGTTCAACCTGACTTACGATATAGCCCACACGTCTTCGTACGTCGAGACTTGCATCGACGACCTCTTGAATCAGCATATGAAGGAACCTTTAAAGTTGTTCATATAGTCGATAAGAACGGAACCAACGATAGCATCAGCGTCGATCGCCTCAAAACAGCGTATTTAAAAGAAAATCCCATTCACGTCTATTTACCTTTGATATAATTGGATGACACGACTCCTACACTTATGATACCTCAACCGACATCCAACACACACGATGACACTTCGGCGATATCATAAAACAGACTCAAAACAACGCGTTCTGGAAGAAGAGTAAGATTTCCGGAACACTCGAACGATTATTGCACGTAAGATACAAGTTTACATTTTATATCATCTCGGTTTTCCCTTGTACTATAAATAATTTTTTTAAAAACGAAAACTTAATATGCTTGTATATTTTTACTTTTTATTCAAAAAAGACAAAACAAAAAACCATATTATAAAAATCCTTCCTTTTTACGCTATTATATGAGCATGAGTTTATTTTCCATTTTTCGCCCGCTTTGTGTTTTTACGCGTGTACGAGCGTAGTTCGACATGCACTTACATATCTTTTTCTTTTCTGGTAAGGCTAAAAAAGACGGAAAAAAAGCAATGAAGTTAACGGAAACGGAAATTTTTATTTCACTTTTTCCTTTTTTACTGTATTTTAATTCATGGTCCGTTATGGTAAGGAAAGACGACCGGACGATGCTAAACTTAACAAGCTGTCACAAGAGCGTTTACCAACGACAAACTCGTTGAGTTTAAACTTCTGGCTGGCCACGTCTTGTATATCGAGAATAGTCTGTCCAGAAGAAGACCACTTATTGTGCTACGCTCTCCTTTTAATTGACCCAAGTTTAAGTAAATATATACGTGTTTTTTGTCCACAACGCCATTGCTATATTCCTTACTCGAATTTCAAAGCGCGATCCTAATATATTTGTTATCGTCATGCACCGAAGACAAACCAATTAGGTGGGGGCTAGATTTATAATATTATTGAACATATATGTCAGTAAATGAATTCAATAGCGTATGCAGTAGTGACAAACAAAATATAATAGGACTGAATAAACACAATTGGACCGAAGCGATAGTCGCATTGGATTAACACCAGATTTTGACTTCTTTGTACCTGAATTAGATTTATATTGACACTGGTTCTTAGAAACACCGGCGATTATATTAGAATGTAAATGACACTGAGGTAAGCTGTAGAACAACTGCATTTTGGTGAAATAAATCCAGGATAGAAATTAAACAGCAGGATATTGTGAGGATTAAAATCTGAGGCGTTCAAACCAATCACATCAAAGAGGATATGTTGACTGATGGAATTGAAGTGTTGCACCTGACAGCCATATGTATATATATATATATCGTACCTCAAAATGTATACACAATTATATTCAGTACTAAAGATCGTAGATATCTCCTGATGTGCTTGTAATGTTTCTGTCTAGGTCAGCAATAGTACACTTATCTATGTTGCATTAATACTAGAACTAATTCATAATTATGGATTTACCATGATGTGGCCAGATGATTTATTAGATCTTACTAGGAAGCCATATCATTATTCATACGTACTCCTCCTATCGTGATAGTAAGTGGCTGCTGCTAAATCTTCTGAAGAATACATATAAACTCAGGAGAAGATAACATATTTGAGATGAAAAGCAAGTGGTTACTTGGTGGTGACCACACCTTCATGGCACAGCCATTCCTTATAGATTAATTTCTTCGTATTTACCATTTCTGACCCTCTCAAAGTGTTAAATGTCGGGTGTAAATTTTCGCAGTTAACGTGCTCTC